TACGCAATCCAGTCTTGTGCGCGCAGAAGATCTTCGTTCAGGCTCCGTGTCTACCGTGGTCAAAGATCGACTAACTGCATACAAACCTCCGCTTCCTTCTGCTCTCACTCCGTCCCTGGCACTGACTCTTTTTGCCACCTACCTCACATCCCACCTGTGTTTTCAGACGAACTTTAATGGATTTCTCTCATCACTGACATGTCCTACTTCGCTCTGTTTCCAAACAAATATACTGGCCTGACGAAAAGTTATCGGAAACAAACGTCTGCTCGCCAACAAGTCTTCTAAATACTGACATGGTGAACTTTCCCAGCTCTAAATCCTATCCGTTTGGTTGTCCGTTGAAAGCTTTTTCAATCACCTTCGTCGACCGTAGTAATGAAGGAAACGCCGCCTACTTGTCATTAGATGAATTATAACAGCTCATTTCTTAAGTTTGACTTAGAAGAAATTGCATCTGTTTAAGACATAATATTCTAGATATAATTTACTTAAGCCAAAGGTTAAATAGTAAGTAGGTTTGCTCAGCGACAGTTCGCATGCAACCGTGCTTCCGAAAGAGAATTGGCAACATTCCTGCGAAGATGTCCGGATGCGTTTCACACACCATAAGAAGACCTGATTAGTCCTGCAAGCAACAAGAAGTAATTTAAGCAACCTTCAAAAGACCGACTCAGCAGTTTAAACGAGGTTCCAACGGAAAGACATTAGGCGAGATGACCCCGGACAGTGTGTAGGCCGGTAACGCTGGTTTTACTCCCAAGCGTTTAGGGTGAACAAGGTCCTCACTTTGTTCCAAACAAAATAGAACTAAATAGATTAGGCCTTTGGAAGATAACCCCTGTATGTTGATTTATTGAGGTTGTCATAAGTAAAACCTACAGAGTGGAATGCGCACAACATATTTCGCACTCCGCGTTTCAGACTGTGGCCGACTGTTTGTGAGGAGATTCGCTCTAGTTGTTACCATCCTCTCTAAAATATCTAGGAATCTGTTGCGCCGCCCACTTTGCCGGACGGCAGTAGAGTCTTCAGTGCAAAAACTTTGCATAACTGAACCCTCACCAGAGGCTCTAATATAACTGAGGACACGGTTAGCACATTTTAGGCATTAGCAGGCCGGTGCTTCGAAGTGTGGGCCACAAGTCGGTCTCCTGGACTGAGCGTACTTGGTCTCTGACAGCATACTTAAACTCGAATTGGACAACAATTTTGAGGAAAACACAAAATGGGAAGGATAGTGGGACTGTTAGGTGGATCGCCTTCTGAACAGCTAATAAAAACTTTAAAAATGATAAGGTTCGTGTTCTCAGCTGTTGCCTTTGTTAGGAGGACGGTTTAAAATATCTCCAACTCAGAACTTACTGGATATCAGTAATCGTTTGCCGCGATGGAAACATTTGTAATATAAAACATTATTTCTACTAATAAGAATGATCCTTACTCCGTTTTACTTCAAAAGACAATGGTCTTAAACCCGTTCCTCTCTTCCGGGCCCCATCGTTGGATTCATAACTTATAAAATGGGCTTTAAATGGGAGAACTGGCATCTCTTGCTTGCTCAATCCTATTAACTTTCACCAAAACCAAGAGTCAGCGCCTGTCCATCGACTGGGCCCGCATTATATCGTTTGATGTTATGATTAGCATAGGAAGACATCGGAAAACGTTAGAAAGGAGGGAACAGCCATTGTGGTCCTCATAGTAGAAATCTTTGCCCTAGAAGGGAAGTTCACCCCAAACAGAACCATCTTATTACCGAAGTTCAAGACTAATGTTCAAAAAATCTCTTCCCAATAACATGTAGTTAAGACACAAGCTTACACGGGACAAAACACAGATTCGTGTATTAAGACAAACATAGAATTTGGCAAAACATAAAACAACCACCTTTCCTTACAAATGCTGCTTTTTGACGTGTTTTCTTTCACTTGAAAAGCATACCTTGTTCCTGAGCAGTTGGGTTCAGACAAAATATCTTTATTTATGCGCAGGACAGGCCTACTTTAGCGGAAAAGTAGGCATTTTGTTTTTTTATTTAGCTTATAGTAACGCATTCCCATTGGACTGAAAGCACTTTTACTGCGGCGCATCGCCGTAGCGAAACCATTCAGGTCCTCCTAACCACACTCATCTGAGTTAATGTACTTCCTCAGTCTTCCTAATCATTAATACGTCCAGCCAGCTGATTGGTTACCCGGTGGCATTACCCTCGCAATGCAGCGGCCTGCACTCGTCACACGCCTGCCAGAACTCGCTACTAATATGCTCTTGCACATTTCATTCAGAAAAATCGGTTTAGTTACTAGCCACTCTTCCCAGTCTGAATTAGGGGACTCGGTACATCCCGTGGGTTTGTTAAATTTCTGACCTCTCAGGTCCATACCTAAATGCTCCGTGAAGGTGAAATCCCGCAGAATTTCAAAGACGCCACAATCGTGCATCTATACAAACGGAAAGGAAACCGCCAAACCTGCAACTATCGCCAAGGTATCTCTATGCTGAACATCACCGGGAAAATTTTCGTTCGCATCCTTCTAAACCGTCTGAACAACCACCTAGAATAAGGTCTTCTGCCCGAAAGTCAGTGTGGCTTTCGTCGTCATCGTGGGGCCACGGACATGATCATCGCCGCCCCTCAACTTCAGGAGAAGTGCCAGGAGATGCGGACCCACCTATACTCTACCTTCGTGGATCTGACGAAAGCCCTCGACACGGTGAATCGTGGCGGACTGTGGAAGATTATGCAGAAATTTGGCTGCCCAGAGCGACTCACTCAGATGGTTTGCCAGCTCCACGGTGGCATGATGGCGCGCGTCACGGACGACGGAGTTGTCTCAGAGGCATTAGCAGTGTCCAGCGGAGTGAAGCAGGGATGCGTCCTGTCACCCACCCTCTTCAGTTTTATGTTCTCTGCCATGCTTGACGCTTAACGTGACGAACGCCCTGGGATTCGCATCGCCTACAGGACAAATGGCCACCTCCTAAACCACAAGCCGATGCGCTTCCAATCGCGTGTATCGACATCCACCGTCCACGAACTCCTCTTTGTCGACGATTGCGTCCTCAAAACCACCTCGGAAATGGACATGCAAAGGAGCATGGATCTCTTCTGCTGTGGCCTGCGAGAACTTCGGCCTGGTAATTAATACGGAGAAGACGGTGGTCATGCACCAACCGCCATCCAACACAGCCCACAAAGTGCCGCAATTCAGCGTGAACGAAACCCAAATGCAAATGGTGGACAAATTCCCGTACCTCGGTAGAACCCTCTCCCGACGACGAAGTCGCCTGCAGAATTTTTAAGGCCAGTCAAGCCTTCGACAGCCTCCGAAGCACAGTTTGGAATCGTCATGGTCTCCAGCTCAACAGCTAACTAAAGATATACACGCCCGTCAACCTGCCGACGTTGCCATATGGTGCGGAGACTTGGACGGTGTATAACAAACAGGCACGGAGATTCAATCACCTCCACCTTAGCTGTCTTCGACGGATACTGAAACTGCGTTGGCAGGACCGAATCCTGGACACTGACGTACTGGAGCGGACGGGAATCCTCAGCATCTACGTCATGCTAAGACAACTGCAACTGCGTTGGAGCGGCCACCTCGTGCGGATGGACGACGAGCGACTACCCAAACGACTCTTCTATGGAGATGTCGTCAGGAGTTGCATCCGGCAAGGAGGCCAAATTCGCCGATACAAGGACATACTAAAGACATCTCTGAAGCGCCTGCCGATCAACCCAGCCGACTGGAAAAACCTCGCTAGAGACCGACCGAACTGAAGGAAGATAGTGAAGACAGGCGCTGCGATCTGTGAAGCCAACCGCATCGCCGCCGTGAAAGCCAAACGAGAAGCACACAAATCTCAGCTGCGCCCACCTCGCAACGCCAACGCCCCACCGCCCCCACGTGTCTACGGTGTCAGCGGGCATTCCGGGCGCTAATTAGACTTGTTGGACACCTTCGAACCAACTTCAGCACTCGGACTGCACCAACCGCCGTCTCACCGTTCACCTCCCCCTCGCCTCCTACGCCGACAACTAACTCTGACCGCCCTCCCGAACCACCATTTCCATCCTCCTCTTATCCCACTGCCTCAAAGCCTGCCGCGCACATTAACACTGCACACAATCCTGAATCATCCTCAACCATCAACATCACCACCGCCGACACCATTGGTGAGGACCCGGTCTATACCTATCCTCATTGCGACCGCACCTTAACCCCACGCATCGGCCTGATCGGTCACTTGTGAATCCATCGCACAGAGACTGACGACCCAGTGCCTGGAGCACCAACTTACGTTCGCCGCATCCGCCTCCACTGTCCACATTGAACCCGCACATTTATTCATCGCAAGGATCTATTTGACCACATGCCCGTCCACGAAAACCTGCAGTAGACAGCCGCCGGCTGAACCACACCACCACATCCCCCCTCACCACCATCTCCTCGCACATCAGCACCACCCTCCGCAAGCATCCAGTTGTCACCTCCCACACAAGTGGGAAGTGTGGGTCTCGACTCACTCTCCGTGCGGCTCCTGCTGCACCGGTGACTCGAGCTTGAGACTATCCCGACGCGTCAAGCGCCGTGGACAGGACGGCTGCTGATTGACGCCCCAACTCTGTCCACGCAGTCCGTCCAATTGTGTGTGTATGTTTGTGTGGAGTAGCGGATTGGTGGGCTGGGGGCCGGGCCGATAGAGCTCCTTCCACAGAATTCTCACGTAAGTGAGAGATACGCCGCTCAACCCACGTTGTGTGAAATCCTGGGGCTTGCGTTGGGGGGGCCAGGTCGTGCATGTGACGCGCGCAGACAAGGTCATTAGGTCATGTCAGCCACTGCGCCTATTCTCCGCATCAGTCAACTGACCGGTTCGGACAACGACTGAGGCCTGGGAATGGGAAGGGAGAGTGAGGTCGACGACTCAGCGCATTTCATTCCCCACTATAAACAGTCTGACGCGCCTGAAGCTATCACGGTACGCTAAAAGCCATGGCTCGGAAGGTTGCTAACTGATGGCATAACTTGGACCTCGCAGTCTGCCCAGTGTTGTGCGTTTGTGTAGAGGGGTCGGCTGGTGGTCTGAGAGTCAGGCTACAATGGCTCTTTCTTAATGTGGCCTTCATAGCTCTCCCGCTTGGTGTGATCCGAGCCGGGCGTGGCGGCACGCCCACGTGCGGCTTCGGACGTGCCAGCTCCAATCTCTGTTGTTGCTGGTCAAAAACCTGATGATTTGCTGTGTGGACCAGGGGGTGTGGAATGGAACGTCAAGATGCGGGCTCGACCGTGCAATCCACCTGCGTCCTCCCATTCTCCGGTCTTCTGGACTCTGTCTTGACGCCGAGCTCAGGTGGGGGGAGGGAGGAGAGAGTGTGGTAGATGCTGCGCAAGTATACTATCACTTTGTACTAATTCACGCCCGTCACTATCCCTGTCCGCCTTGCTCTGGAGCAGACGGTGGACATCTTCGGCAACGAAGGTCGAACTGTCGTCTGTGTGTGTGTGAAAAAATATCTGTATAACAGGATATATGAGTGTAAAGCAGTACACTTGAGTTTTTATTTTAGGTCTTTATTCGTTCGTTCTTCCTTTTCCATATCATAAATTAGCGCAATGGAGTCCTGGTTAAGCTACACCAGCTGAATGAAATGGCGCTTTCAAACGTCCACCCAAGGAGTTATTGTCTTTATTTTCCAATCGAAACGGCTGTACTTCATGTTAGACCTATATGCATTTGTATTATGAATACAAATAGAGCTCCATTTCATTCATAGATGTAGGCTAGCCATGCGTTCGAAAACACGAGGTTACCCAGTGAAAACGGCAGCGTACGTAGGCATGATTGTTTTCTCATGCATATTAGGTCATATTTTATGGAGATTATGCATTTTCTATTAAATAACAACGTATGTTCTTTTTTCGAGGTCATCCTATATTACTTGTAAGGTGTCTCATTATGGATTTAGTGTTCCTCATGAGCATAAGAGCTACCAGTATTCGCAGAGTGTGGTTGGAAAATTACACGGTGTGAATATGTGTTGTCACACCACTTTTAGGTCGAAATTCATAGGTCTTCAGTCAGGGAGTTGCTATTACTCAAATAAACGAAAGCAAATATGGAATAAAGCAAACAAATAAAGAGTTCACGTTGCAAATTCGAAACTTAGTTACTAACGATAAGATACGCTTAAAGACTAGGTTGTAGAGTTCAGAGCATAGAAAAAGTTTTGTCAACAGCAAATTCAGTTCTGGTGATCATGTTAAGCATCGGAATAGGAGAAGGCCTGATGGACAGGACAGGTTATTCATCGAAAGCAAATCTGTGATAGCAGATGCGAACACTTTTACAAATGCCAGCGCCGTGGACAAACTCACGGGCGAAATCGGATATCATTATCTAAATACCTAAAAACTTATTCACGGTCGAAGGCGACTTCAAAAGTCCGAAATCCCAATTTAATAAACATCATTCTCCAAGTGGATATTTTGACGCGTTCTTCTGTAAACACGAGAAGATTTTCCTATCTCCCAATGAGAGAGCGATGCAGCACTGGGGAACAAATTCCCCAAACTGCCTGACCCGACGTCATCCACAGACGGCACACTGGTACACAACCTGTCGTCAAAGGAACTGACGAAGGAGCGGGTATAGGTTTTACGACACGAAGCCTCAGTCAACACAGCTGGTGCCAAACCTGTCCACATGATTGCAGCAGTGAAATCGGTCATTAATCAGACGGACGCGACGGAGGAGACGAAGAACCTTATCCGACACCGAATCTTGTCCCTCCTTATGTCTCACAGGCAGCGCGAAATACTCCCAAGGGTCGAACGCGATGCACTAAAAGAACTCAAAGCTGACAAGGACATTGTTATCATGCCCGCGGACAAGTGGCGTTCGACCGTCGTATTGGACAGAACAGACTACCTTCAGAAGGCCAAAAACCTACTGGAGGATAGCCAATTATATGTCCCATGTGAAACCAACCCCGTAAAAACGCTGATACGCGAAAGTACTGCGACAATGTTGGCACTGGAGAACTCGGGTACAATAACATCGACCGACGGACGCAGGTCGAGAGCCCAAGAAACGACCTTGACCCGGTTCTGTGGTCTCCCCTAGGTGTACAAAGAAGGCGTTCTTCTCCGGCCCAGAATATCGCTCAAAATCACTCCAACGAACGAACTGACAAATGGCTGTTTTGATGTCTCACATTTCTGACCGCTGATTCGAACACCACAGTCTGTTTGTCAACACAATTCTTGGAGAAGCTCAAAGGGGTAAGTCTTTTGCCAGATGAGGTCGTGGCATCTTTTGATGTCACGACCCTCTTTACTTCTATCCCGTCGAGCTACTCCTACAAAGCAAATACGATGAAACGGAGAATCGTCTCGGACATGCTCAAGTCCTTCAGCTCCCAAAGTTCCGTCTCAGGACGTACTTCACGCTTGGTGGAGCAATCTATAAGCGCGTGAGGGAAACACCAATGGGTTCGCCGATTTCGGGATGCATCGCCGAGTCGGTCCTCTACCGGCTAGAGTCGCTGGTCTTCCAACACTACAGACCGAAATTATGGGCTCAGTATATGGACGATACCTTCATCGTTATCGAACGGGATTAGGTGCTAACGTCCGATAGCGTATCCCCGACATAGAATTTACGAGGGAGGAGAAAGAAAATAACCAGCTGGCCTTCCTTGATGTCCTCGTCTGTCTCGAAGAGTGTGGTAGACCAAAAACCAAATTATTCAGGAAAAAGACGGACACGACGTCAATACTGAACTTCAACAGCAACCACCCAATCAGCCATAAATGCAGTTGCGTAAGAACGCTATATCGGCGTGTTGAGACGCACTGCAGTGAACCAGAAGACAAGATTGCCGAATCCCAATATCTTCGACGGGTTTTCCGAGAAAATTTGTCGACCGGTGCAGGCGCAAACGAGACGAGAAGCAAAATCGTACTGACCCCAAATTGTGACGAGCGATCACGTACATCAGGAACGTCTCCGAGGCTGTTAGTCGCCTTCTCACAAAACTTGGGGTTGGAGTGGCGCACAGACCGAAGGCCACAATAAGGCTCAGGCGAAGACTAAAAGACCTACTGCCACGGCAAGAAACATCTGGAGTCGTTCACCGGATCTGGTAAGGTTGTGGACAAAGCAACTACGTCGGAGAAATTAGAAGACTGCTCCGGAGGCGAATTGCCGAACACGCGGCAGCGGTACGGAGAAATGACGTCAACTCTCAGGTCGCGGCGCATTCGAAAAGAGCCGGCCACACATTCAAGTTCGATGAGGCCGAAATTCTCGCAAGAGGGAATAATCGCGTGAACCACGAGTTGCTTGAGTCATGGTTCACGGGACCTCAGTCAATCAACAAGTGAAACGACATCCCCACTCCATATTCCGTGCTGAAGCATAGTCTGGCCAGAGTAATTAACCACTCGGGGGTTCGCAGGCCGGTGAGCCAGATGACCGAGCCATCATCACGCCATCATCCAACACGGGTGATTAAATTTCGGCAATTGACAACTTTCATGCCGACCGTCAAGCAGCTAGCGTACCAGTGGGCAACAATTCTTGAGTACGAGGAGCGCGGTTAATCACTAAAGCATGGCAACTACATCCTATAAATGCTGCAACTTCCTGTGCACGAATCCCCCGTTTCTGTCACTGTCTCTGATGATGGGTTCGAGTGAGAATCCGAAACGTCAGGTGAGTAAAGCCCTTGTTTCAACGATCGCTTCTTTTTCTTTATCATCATCATCATCCTATTATTATTATTAACTAGTTCCTGGAACTCGCATCTTTGCTTGTATCGATAATTACAAGGCTATTTGCAACAAGACGCACTTCGACTGGGTACCAGTTAACACCGCATAAATGATGCGATGGTTTAGATGTAACTGTCTGTTTAATGCACTCAATTCTTCAAATAATTATTGTCGCCACCGAATCAGCCAGCGAAGGGCAGGAAAAAGTCATGTATGCGAATTCTTATAAAACGCTAAGAATCAGGCAGTAATTGTAATAATTCTGCTAACGAAGTTGGTGCATGGACGCTCATTGAATATGTATGTTGGCCAGTATGAGGATGGTGCACAAATGTAGCAGCCGGAAATTAACCCACAAGTTCACAACTAGATTGGTAGATAGTGTCTCCCTGATTTATAACCTTAAAATCACTGCTTATTATGCGAAAGGGGATCACGGTTATTTTAAGGTTGAGAAAATGTCCATGACAGTATCCAGAAGACTGTTTGGCGAACAGGGTGTTGGTGGTACCCAGTTGTAGATCAACGTAAAGGTCGTAGGTGGTCTCTCACCTGCTTGCAGGTGTTTAAATAACAGAGACCCAATTCTCACATGTGGTTCCCCGAAGATAGTCTCTGCCTAGCAGTCGCACCCAGGTAACCGCTTCGGCCGAAGTGGTAAACCAGGTGATGGTATCCATGTGTGTATCTCCAAACACGGTCATCCTCTCCTCTCCCACCGCCGTCGGCCATAAGGTGCATTGCATCGTTATCTCCAAAATGAGGCTCCGTCTGAAACCCCGCAGGAGGCCACAAAGCAAGTGACCCCCCAGGTAAGCTGAATACAGCTTGGTTGACTTTGTCTGCTCACCCTTGCATTACAGCAGTCATCAAGCTACTGACCCAGTGGCTGAACTACCTGACCCCTTTCTACCCCTGTGCACGTTTTCTCCGCCCTTCTCCTCTGCCCTTCACTCTCTCTACTCTCTGTTCAACTCTATTTCCCCACTGTCGAAAGTCTAACGGCGAGGGCGACATGCAATGACGTAGGCGACCCAGGCCATTCGTCGTTCTCTCACTAAACCAAATGACCCGTTGTGGAGAGTTGTATCCGTCTGGTGAGACAAAACAGTCCTATTCATGGAGAGCACGGATTTCCTCCGCGAGGGGAAGGGGACTATAATGGGTGCCCTAAACAAAGCTGGGTTTACGATATCGCGCGCAGACCGTGGCTTGCAGACTGCTAAACATGCGGTAGAAACCAAAACGCAAGCACTACTCCCTCTCATCCTCCCTCTCTTCCTCCGCCCCGTCCCACCCCACAGGCTGTTAAAGTGAGTCCGCTCACACTGACAGCCTGGAATGTTCGTCCCCTTTTAGACAATCCGAGGAGCAACCGACCGGAACGAATGACGACGCTAGTGGCTCAGGAACTGGCGCGCTACAAGGTTGAAATCGCTGAACTCAGCTTGACCCGGTTCTCCGAGCAAGGTCAAGTGGAGGAGGTGGGTGCCGGTTACACCTTCTGGAACGACCGACTCAGGGCGTCGCCTTTTACCATCGGAAACGACATCGTGGGACGACTGCCCCCTCTGCCGCAGAGTATCGACGGCCGACTGATGAGCCTGCGTCTGCCTCTTCGGTGATCAAACTTCGCCACCATAACCAGCGACTACGCTGCAAAAAATGATCGGCTCAAATGAAGCGCAGTCCAAGTTCTACGAAGACCTGCACGCCCTCCTAGCGCCTGTGCCGAAGGCGGATAAGTTGTTGTCCTCAGTGACTTCAACGTCCGCGTCGGCACAGACCATGCTGCCGGGAGAGGACTGCTGGGTCCTGACGGAATCACCAACTGCAACGGCAGTAACCTCCTCCTCCTCCTGCGAACCTGCGATAAAGACCGCCTCATCCTGATCAACATCTTCTTCCGCCTGCCGACGCGGAAGAAGTCCTCCTGTATGCACCCCAATCGCGGCGCTGGTGGCTGCTGGACTATGCTCTGGTCTGGCGACGAGACAGACAGGTCGTGATGCTGACCACGGCGGTCTGCGACGAGGATGACAGAACGGAACATTGCCTCGTCATCTCCAGGAGAAGGCCCCTTCTTCAACCCCGCAGGAGGCAACAGGGTAACTTAACTCCAGATAAGTTGAATATTGCTTTGTTGTCTTTGCCTGCTCACCGTTAGCATTTCATCAATCAACTGATCGAGCGGCCGGAAGAACTGCCAGCGGCAGATAAAAACTCCCCCGCGGAAATTCGATGATGCAAATATACGGGAAGCCGTTCACTCGACCGTCCCGGCTGCCCTCGACCGCGCGCGTCGGCAGTGCCTGGACTGGTTCGGCCACAACGACGCAGCCATCCATAAACTGCTCGCCCAGAAGAACAGGCTGCACAGAGCCTGTCTTTCCGTCCGGTCGGCGCGAACAGAGCAGCATTCTGCTAACGTCATCGCCTCGTCGATTGAATACGCTGATGATGACTCTGTCAATGGTCTCACGTAGAAAAACCATGCGAATTTCAGAATCTGTGAGGCATAAATGCCTCCCTGTCATTCTATTCGCCGTGCTAAAGTGTGAGATATATATGAGAGGAGGTTGAGATGATGTTAAGAGTGATTTTTCTAAAAGGATCATGAAAATCAGTGACAAGAGGAAGTAAAGCGGGGTTTAGATAATCGTTTTAGAGTCCTGGGCGAATCTCGCTGACAGTTGTATGCCTGATTCTCTCCTTCACATGCGGCTGTATTCAAATCAAGATGTTTTTGCATTTTTCGTGAACATTATCGCGTGACTCGCTAATTCAAATTTCAGTCTTGGGGTAAAATAACTTAAGAACCAAGGCCACCAGAACGACTGGAATAGTTTTTCTTATAGGCCTGACACTTACCTCACGTTTTCACCCTACCTTTTATTAAAATTACATCGACCTGACAGAAGATATCTTACGGTTCACAAACTCTACAGATTCTCTAGACGCAAACATACCATAAAACTGAAAGATTTCACTCCCTTGGTATAAATAGTAATACCCAGTCCGACTGTTTGTCGGAAATAATAGGCCTTGTTGTAAGCATGACTTCCTGAAGACTACAATTTTTGCACCAAATTACCATCTAGATGTTGTCAGTAACAAAACGAGACAATTTATCTCCATGAGTTGTCCTGCAAACTCTTGTGCGGGGTGGCGTCTGGTATGTGAGAGACGATATTCCGCAGAAGACAGCCTTTAACCGTGGGGACAATGAAGCTCAGTTATTGGTGATTTTAGCCTAATTGGTTTGATGGAAAATATAAATTTCAATGCTCTTGCATAACTAAATTGTATTCTTAGGGATGATACTAAAAGGTCATTGAGAAGAAAGTGCGAATATATTTTCCATCTGTTTATAGGCCAGTTTTTGAATCATGTGGTATTGACACTGGCTTGGTCTTGTCGTTGAGTGGCACCAAAGCCGTTCGTTGTATTCTGAGGCTCATAATTTACTTCTTTGGGCTCACTGAGATCTGGATCTTCGTAGCCTCAGTATTAGTTTTAAGCAGTAGTTTGGGGACATGAATGTGCAAAGACGTTGATTTTCCAGTAAGCACGTTACCATATGCGAAACAGACGACTATGTTCGCAAGCAACGTCCAAAATTATGGTTTACATAAACATCGTTTTTTTCCATCGTAACTACTGACCCCTAGCGAAAAAGGTTCTTCACAAATATAATATCAGGAAGCAAAAAGTATTCTTTCAAGTGCGAGAATTTCCTTAACGAAATTTCACGGTATTCCGCACCACAAAGAACATGTAGGTATCCGAAAACCAAATAAAGCAAAAAACACGGTGAGTATAAGGTCTACACAAATGGACAGTTATAGAGAATGCAGGGTTTATTTATATCTTATTTCAGAACTTTACATGTTCGGTTCTATGGACTTCTGCGCCGTCCCGATTTGCAGCACGTACAGTAGGTGGGCTAACTCATGAAATGCCAACCGAAATTTCGGAATGCATTTTCGCTTTGAAAAGATTGACTAAGAAGAGTTGTAAAACTAATCATCATACAGCATAATTCTATAATAATTCAGTTATCTCCGGATTCCGGCTCTCGAATGAATTTCCTTTGCGCTGCACGCAACAACTATATGCATGAAACAATGACTACTTAAGTAACATGCATTTTTCTCATTGTTTTTCGATGTCCCTAAATATTCGAATATATTTCATGAAAAACATGCATAAAAATATTCATTCTTTAGCTCACTCGGTAGAAAACTACGTCTTCTTCTCCTTTTATACCCAAAGAAAAAGTATAATTTGGTTTTCAAAAACTTTTCCAATTCCTGAATAATTTTGAACGAAACCTGCCGTCACACTTGCATTCAGAAATTCCAAACTACAAGCTGTATATTTTCCGCATGCGGAAAACCATACATTTGTCTACAGTATCAGGAGTTGGCTGTATGGATTTCATCAAATCTGGTATTGATTTGAGCCATGTCCTTCCTTTGAGTACAAAATTAGAAGAAACCGGCGTTTTCTACCGAATGAGCAAGGGAGTGAACATTGTTATGCATGTTTTCCATGAAATATAATTGCATTTTTAAGGGCATCGTAAATCAGTGAGAAAATTACATGCTGCATAAGTAGTAATTTCTTTAAAGAGTGTAGGTTTTGCATGCAGCAGAAAAGACACTTTTTCGAATGCCGGCATTCTAAGATAACTAAATTTTTTTAGAATTATGCTACACGATGATTAATTTTGTAACCTTACTTAATTACTCTTTTCGAAACGAAAACACAATTCGGAATTTCGGTTGACATTTCATGAGTTTGCCCACCTACTGTAGTTTAGTGCGCACTGTCGACGCACACATGACGTTGGTCGCAGAAGCGACATTTAAAAGAATTTTTCACCGTTATTAAGTAAGTGTAAGTAAGTAAGCTCAATTAACTTGTCCCAAATAGAGTAATACAACGACTTGCGATCCGGTGATATTGTTGCTAAATTCCCATTGTCATCTTGTCAAGTATTTTTGTACCCGTCCTTAAATTATGCTACTGGAATTTACGGCTACGTTCTGTTTTTCTGTTTATTTATATTGCGTTTTTCTTGGAGGAGTCTGAAGAAGTAACTTGGAAGAATTTCAAAAACGAACAAGCATTCTGCCCATAGATCCTTGTGCAATAAATCTCTCTATGGAAGCTGGGTTTATTTATTGACCAAAATTCACCCTCGATTACCGTGTCATTTATTATCCGTTCTGGTACTTGCTCCCTCAACTTAGAAGCTAAATGGATGCAGTCCTCAAATGCTTTCTGAATGAACTTAACTACGTCGATCTTCAGAGTGTGGAAGAGATTGCTCATAGCACCTGGAAATGTCTAGCATACTTTCAGACACCATTAGATTTGGAAAATACTTTTTGAATATTTTTTTTCCAAAAGTAGTAAGACTCGCACGTTTTTGAAAATAACGCTTGTTCACCTTTCCAAAAAAACCTATTACATTGAGTATATACAAGACGGATTCTAGAAAGGAGCACTCACATATTTACCAAATCAAGTCATCTGTTTCTCGATTCAAAGCACAATTTTTGACTGAGGGCGATTTATGGAATGCATGATTGTAAGGAAACTTGGCCAGGATCCTGAAGAAACTTTCTGAAAAACCGATGTCCCCTTTCCCGCTAAAATGATCAAATCTCAAGCTAAACAGCCGAGTACTTTAGGGGTTGTAACTTAACTAACTGGCCGTTCTGTTTCTTATGAGGATCATGCCTAGCTAGCTAAAAAATGATCTTAAGAAATCTTATATTCTTATTTGCGCCGTGTGGTTCTGTAAAACTCCTTCCTACAGCAATGACATCTCCAGTAAAGACTGAAAAATTGACTACTTAAGTATTAAGAATTTGCCCATTGCCTGTTGATGTCCTTATAAATTAAAATGTAATTTTTAGAAAGCATACACAAGAATACTTTTTCTTATAATCCTGTGGCAGCAATTTACGTCTGCTACAAACTGTCTTCTCATAGAAACCCTTGTTTTGTCTTTGAAAACTCTTTTAATTTTTGAATAATTTTAACCCGACTTGCAACTGTGCCTGTTTTAGGGTTTCTTAACTTTACGCTGCGTACCTTCCGTGCAAGGAAAATTGCAAATTTTTATACGCTGTTATTATGATATCATTCAAAGCTCACACAGGCTTCAAATGGACGTGTTTTAAGCCGAATATCTCATAGGCTCGAATATATATGATTATTTGTGAATGATCATTTCACGGACTTCGATAATCTCATAATTACAAATTTCTGAAACAAGGCGATATCACTTCCTTGAACTAAAAATCCCAGGGAAATATAATTTGCAACCGAGTACATACACGAAAGGATATTTTGTGCATACTTTTCATAAAGTATATTAGATTTTAAAAAGTTTCAAGGATAAATGGGACAATACATAGTACTTATGCAGCCACTTTTTGCTAAATGTGGTTTTCACAGACAACGGGAAAGAATCTCATTCAAATGCTGATATTTTGGGCAACTGAAATATCATGAGGTTACATATTTCAGATCTGATAAACCCATCAAAGTGACCCTTTCTAGATGTAAAGGCATCTCACGATTTCGGCCACCATTTCGTGAGACGGATCAGCCACTGTAATGCAATTCAGCAATGAAAACTTTCTGTAAGAAAACATTCACGACGAAAACAATCGAATCCGGTTTGTTTCGGTAACTTTACTTCAGGAACGATACGTACTTAACCGAAATCAATGCCCTCAGTGTATGGCCCTACCAAACTATATGCGATATTTTTCAGTTGAAATCCCATAACGTCACACGTAATTGGGTGGGATGAACACGAACGGGGTAACCGCCTTCCTTCTATACGGACATAAAACTCACAGGGCGTGAGTGAGCTGTCTAGGTAGTCGCAAATGCGAAGTTTCGATTGCTCTCACTCAAACGTGCTTTCTCAACTAAATCCGGATGCTGAAATTTAAAGTCTATTCGTCTCCCATTTGCCCTTTTTCTGACTTCTGCCACTACTCTTAGAGACGCACCGCCCTAAGAATGATTTTTCAATTAGCCTATAAGAAGAAGCTGATTTGTCTATTCTCAGCTGTGTGCTGTTTTTATGAGACCACTAAGCGATGCTAGTTGCTACGCGTGATGTGAACTATAGCGTCACCTGGGTGAGTACTCCTTAAGCGCCAGATCCATGAGAAAACACTTTACGGCAAGCTTCAGTGACGCAGGAAATTGTTGACCCATTCCACGTGATCGAAAAGCAGTTTTAACCAGCGGTTGCATTTTGCCTACAGACTTAAAGACAACTCAGTTTCTGGTGCGGAAGTTTGGACGATACCACTGAAGCTGTATGGTTTATAAAAGACCACACTACTTTGAAGGGCAGATAGAAACTGGTAAGCTGAACTTAATATTCTTAAAGCTTCCCGAGTTTATTTTATAAAAGTACGACTGCTTCCATAAAACTTCCCAAAAGTAATGCTCTTGT